GTTGTTCAATTTAGGAGTTTTATTCTCACAAATTGGACAAACCCTTTCATTTGTTGTTGTGAATAGAACAGAATTATTGTGATGAATATTAACGAGCTAATTTAAATATTTCTATAAGTGATTATTAACACCAAAATATAATCTAAATTATCTTGTAAATTAAATAAAAAATCGGAAGGTTTTTTCAGATTATTCATTAATTTAATATTAATTAACTTTTAATTAAATTATTATAGATATTATTTTACCAAGTTTTTAATTGTTTTATTAAAAATATTAATTACATATGATGTATAATATGTATATAATTAAATATATTAAACATTATAATATATATATGATATATATTATATAGTTTTAATAATAAATTTTTATTTAATTTCTCATTTGTTTGAAATCATAAAAATTTCTATAGAAAAACATTTAAAACAATAATGTTTTATTTAATAAACATTTTGTGATAAATTTAATAGATTAACTTAATATCCTTTACCAATTTAATTTAACATTAGACACTGTCCTTTATCACTACATCTGAAGAAATAAATCCAATTAATTTGAAATAATATATAAATAAAAATTAATTAAAATAGCTAATTCAGTAAACATTTAATCTGGTTCCCGAATTATATTAAGACCAACATAATATTAAGTCAGTGGATACGGAGTGACACAAAGAATTGAAAAGAAGGCTTATAAAGACGCACTCATATTGCCCACTTGTTCATTTTTACTCACTTTTCAAATTATCCTTTGATAAATTCTCTCTCGCCCTTTTAGCAAGTGGAGTAAAACCACATCTGCACTTACACAATATAGACAATAAATGCAGTGACATGAAGACTTACAAACAGTAGAAAAAGTGGACTTCCTTCAAAAAAATAAATACAGCAAATTTTTTGTTTTGGTTAAGGTAATTGTTGTTAAGGATAATCTTTCAACACTCATATTTTTCAATTAAAATATATTATTATTATATTTCAAAACAGTTAAACATGTTTTCATTTCTTTGTTTTAAGCTTTAATTTTCACAAAAAAACGATAAATTACTGATATTATGGTTTAATAATTTATTGTTCAATAATAAATATTTTTTTGGTATTTATATTTAAAACAAATAGAAATATGTCTTTTAACCTTACGATACTGTTACTGTTTTAAATAAAACACAAATTTTATTTTTTTTGAACTTGATTTGATATACAAAAAAAACTTACTCTTTTGAAATGTAAACAATAAACAAACCATTCACGCAAACAATAATTTATTGGTTTTCCTTTTTTTAATTTTTGGAAATGTTTTGATAAAAACACTAACAGTGATAATGTTCTCATCAACAAAACATTTTTTACCAAAAAAAATGTTTAAAAAAAAGAATCTTAAGGTTAAATAGAGTTATTACACAATTATCAAAAAATGTACTATTTTATAGTATTTGTTTCAAGTGTTTTTATTTAGAATAACAATTTTTGAATTATGATTAAATTTTTATCACTATTATTTTGCATTAAAACTCCAATTAACAATAACTACAAAATTTATATTAAACTTTTTTATTGTTTAAATTAATTTGATGTTTTTTACAAAAAAACAACACGAATAACATCAGTATATAAACATGTAATGATTCGAATTATTTTGTTTCCATTTTGTGAAAGAAGTTGGGCAAATATACAATAATGAGTAAATATCAGAAAAAACTGAATATAACCCTATATTTTGTTATTTTTTTTCAATGATAAAAGACAATTATTATGTTGTCAGTTTCAGATGTTCGAATGTACATAAAATGCACTATTTTTAAATCTTTTTAAAAAGATCTAATTATTATTTATGTTATTTTTCAATTAATTTAAAATCATTCTTGATAATATTAATAGATATTTTCTGTTTATGGGTTGTTGAGTGGATAAAAAAAAGTTAAGTTCATTCCCAAAAGTGTATAAAGTTGACTAAATTTCAGAAGTAATATAGATTTTTTGAGAAGAATTGTCAACCCGGACTGTTGATTGGATAAAAAATGGAGGTCTTACATAAATCTTTTATTTGAATGAAGTTTCTTTTTATACTACTATTAGCGAATAATTTAGAACATATATTCACAAAACCGGATGAACTTTCACTATTTTTATCAAATAAAAAAGTTAAAATAGTATTAATATAATAACTTATTTAAATAACAATTGTTTTCAAATTTAATAACATTAATTAAAAGAAAATTAACTTTACTTTTAATGTTCAAAATTTAATAAAAAAATTTAAAAAGTTCATATTTGTAAATTTTAAATTTTTTTATATTGACTGTTTTTTTAAAAAAAACAAAAAATAAACCACAATAAACAAACAAAACAAACAAATTAAATTTTCTTTTAGTTCATCCTATATTATTTAACTTTAAAGTACATTTTCACTTTTGATGGCCCAACACCAGAGATATATTTTTTGGTTGATATTTAATTTCTTTCTATTTCAGCTGTTTATTTTTTCTAAAGGAGCATGTCCATCTAATTACAATATAATTTCGTCATTTGAAATTGCAGAAAGTATATGTAGAAGTTATAATGATGTGACAATAGGAAAAGATGACCCAACAATTACAACCAAAATTGTATTAACACTATCAAATAATGCAGTGATGTACCCATATGATAATACTGACTTTAAATGTATAGCAAATGGGGTGTTAAATCAAACCGGATCGTCTATGATTGAGGCTCCGAGTGGCTTGACTTATTTTCAAAACGGGTGTATATTTGAAATGCACGACAAATCAAATTATACAACATCAGGAGAGGCGTATTTTAATAACAATTCCATTTCAGTGTTCTACCAAGAATCCAAATTTTATATTCAAGGAACAATAATGGGGGTTGCATCTAACGCAACATTGACATTGACAGACAACTCTGTTGTTTACTCCAAAAATACCATTTCTGTAAATTCAAAAGGAACTTTCGAGATGAATACAAACTCGATGGCCAAAGCTTCAAATTTTAATGTGAAAAATTCAAGTGTTTTGATCAAAAATAATGCACATGTAAATTTAAATAAACAATTTAAAACAGAACAAACTTCTTCAATAAAAATGATTGGAAATAGTCAACTGAATTTTATTGAAACGTATTCAACTGAACCACAATTTTGGATCACAGACTCTACAATAATGGTCATTGAAAATTACGTCCAAATTGTATTACCAAAAACTGCTGACATTAAAAACTCGACTTTAAAGATGAGTGGAAATTCGCGGATAACAAGTGAAACATTTAAAATCGAGGTGAACGGCACTTTGGAGTTTTTTGATCAAATTGAAAGTGTCAATACAATAATAACAGACCAAAAGGATGTTTCAAATGGATTATTTGAGAAACTTTCAACTTCAAATTTTGAGTGTAATAACGCCAATATTGTTGTTGATAAAAAATCTTTTATAAGTAATTCACTGACATCAACTTTAACACAATGCACTATTAAAAATACAAAGAGAAGTATTCGTGACATCCCAATTCTCTTTACAAAATCAGTTTTGATTAGTTCTTTGACTTCAACAAGCACGCAAGAGTTTGATTTAATGTTTACTGAAGAATTATCACCAGATGTTAACATGGAGGGTATTACTAAATTCACACCACCCGGTGCTAAAAGTGGTTATTTGATTCGATTTGGCACTTCACAAAAAGTGTTTTGTCACTTGAAGGCAGTCAATTTACTCACAAACAGTCGAACGTATTTTGAACCGTATTGCCCATGTGAAGGAAGCAATTGTTATATAACTCCGCTTCCTTCATTGGATTCTATAATTATTTATGAGACAATTAAAAGTGAAATCCAACCAGAATTTAGAAACACCAAATTTTTAAAATCAATTAAAACGGCAAACGAAGATGTCGAGACAGAAAGTGTTGGTATTCAAAATATTCAAATGTCATTTGTGAAAATAGTGAAACCTTTTATTGTGAGCATTCCACCACAAAATACTCCAATACAATTAACAATTAATTCCCTTTCTAAAACGGTTCTTTTCATATCAAAAGATAGTCTTACACTCAACGAAGTGATTTACTCTGCTGGTATAAGTCAAAATGGCGTTTTTAAAATGGTTTTTGGTATGAAATGTGAAAGTGGGACTTTTGACACAAATACACAGACATGTGGTGAAAGTCAGACAATAAAATGTTATGATCAAAATTGTTTGAATTGTTCTTACGGCGCGACTGAATGCCTCAGATGTCCACAAGATTATTCAGTTGTCAATGGAATGTGTGCGAAAATTGAAAATTGTTTGTATCAAAAATTCAATTTGTGTATCAAATGCAAAGAAAATTATATTTTCAAATATCCAAATTGTGTTCCAGTAGGCGATTGTTATTTATATAACAGAGATGGTACTTGTAATATATGTAACATACAACAAAAATTAATTTTAAAAGAAGGTGTATGTCAACAAGTTGATCCCAATTCTGATGCCAATTCTGTAACATCCATCACTTCTTGTATACAAGGTTTTAGAGTCAGTCAATATTCTTGTGAATCATGTAATGATGTGATTACGCCTCTAAAAAGTACATTCTATTGTATGTCAAATGTACCCACAAAATGCGTGCCAAATTATTCAATTACATATACAGACCTTACAACATGGTCTTGTACAATCAATGAAAAATGTGATTCTGGTAATGATGAAAACGGACGCTGTGCAAATGTGATTGAAAAATGTTCATATATAACAAACGGGAAATGTGTTGAATGTGCAAAAGACTATATGTTGTCCAATAATAAATGTCAACAAAATTCAAATAAATTATGTGAAGTATCGAGTTCTTTTGATTGTCTTCGTTGCATAGACAATTACTATTTCGACTCAAATACAAGGAGTTGTTTGAAGTGTTCTCCGGAATGTAAGACTTGTTTATCTACAGCAACAACATGTCTTTCATGTTACAACGAGACTTATCTTTCAGATGGGACGTGTAAATCAAATGACAATTTGGTTGGTATTTGTGACAAACTTTCCATTACTGGGGGATGTGTAATTTGTGCAGATAAATATTATAGGAGTGGCTTTGAGTGTTTTGAATGTTCCTCAAAATGTGCGACTTGTCAAGACAAAGAGACTTGTTACACATGTGCAGAGTCGTTTTACATGACTATAAATGGTGATTGTCTACCTTTCAGTCAACTTGAAGAACTATGCGAAGAGAAAGTGACTCAAAATGGGTGTGCGAAGTGTAAAAATGGGTATTACCGAATAAATGGAAATGAGTGTAAAAAGTGTAATTCAAATTGTTTTACATGTTCTATAGAAAAAGTGTGTACCTCATGTTATGCTAATCATTTGTTAAATGAAAACAACATTTGTAAAAACGTGTCAGAAGTATCAAATTGCGTCAAAATTGAAAACTCAAAATGTGAAAAATGTGTGTTTTGGTACACTCCAAGTAAAAATGGAATGTATTGTCAAGAGGCGCCAAATTGGTATCTTTTAGTTCCTTTAATTGTGTTGGTGTTGGTCGGTTTAAATGTTTTGATTGTTTTATTTCTATTCTTATTGCGGAGACTTTTCAGGAAAATGCAGAAAAGAAATATCGAACAAAATTACACTATTTTCAATATGAATACATCGAATATTCAGTTTTTGAATTTAAAAAACAACATTTGTGTTTCATCCCGAGATATTGATCTGAACACTGAATATGACGAAATTCCAATAGACACTGAAATTCGTCTTCTGTTTTGTGTTGGTAATATCAAAACTCGAAAATCCCCAATTCAAAAGATCCAATTTTCAACTGCAGATGTGAGTGACAAATTTACTATAACTTTTTCTCCTGAGGTTGTTTTACTAAAAAGTGGATATGCTTGCGAATTTGAACTTAAATTTAAAGCAAATTGCACATGTTCGATTTCTTCCAAAATTGTTATTGTTTCAAAGGATATCAAAAATAACACAGAAAAGTATAACGACATTGATTTAAAAGGTATAACCGCCCAATCGTCTTGTCTTGATTATTCAGAATTAATAGAAGATGCAAAAATAGGAGAGGGGAGTTTTGGGATAGTTTACAAAGGTTTTTTTAGAGGAAACATTGTTGCGATTAAAAAGATGAAAAGTTATAATTTTGCAGATGGGGGAAATCGACTTAAAGAATTTGAAAATGAAGTGCACATGCTTGACAAATTTAGATGTGACTTTATTGTTCACTTTTTCGGTGCTGTTTTTATACCAACAAAAATTTGTATGGTCACCGAATTAGCTGAATTTGGGTCTCTTCAAGACTTAATCAATTTAACTTCAAAAAATCCACGAAAAAAATTTGGAAAAGCCGAGGACGAAGTCAGTGCAGCAAAGTACAAAAAGTTACTTAAAATATCCAAAATACTCGAGTACAACTCTAATTATAGCAAAATCAAAGTTGGTGTCCACAAACAAATAGTTTCGAATAAAATTTCCCAAAACAATCAACCCACACCAAGTCAACACAAAACGTCCATTATAAATACACTCACCAAAACCACTGAAATTGAGACAAAAAACGAAGTACCCAATGTATTAGAATTAAAGCCACAAGAACAACCAAATTGTTTAAATCAAGAATTACTATTATCAAAAGATAATAGTAATAATATAGAAGAAGAATGTCGAGTACAAACGTCCGTTATGAAAATAGATCGGAAAACGATAGTAAGTGGGTTTGGTAACAATTTTGAGAAATACCCTCCACTCACAATAACTTTTCCAATGAAATTGCGGTTGAAATTTCTTATCGATGCCGCAAAAGGAATTGAATATTTGCACAATAATGGGATTTTACACAGAGATATTAAGCCAGACAATATATTAATTGTGAATTTGGAAGATGGCATTGAAGTCAATGCAAAGTTGACAGACTTTGGGAGTTCAAGAAATATTAATATGCTGATGACTAATATGACGTTTACTAAGGGTATTGGGACACCCATTTATATGGCTGGTGAACTATTAAAAGGACAGAAGTATAAAAAACCGGCAGATGTTTATTCATTTGCAATTACTATGTTTGAGATATTTATATGGGGAGAGGCATATCCCGGAGATCGATTTAAGTACCCGTGGGATATCATTGATTTTGTAAATAAAGGAAATAGAATTCAAAAACCGGGTGATTTGAGTGATGAACAGTTTCATGTTGTACAGAGAGCATGGGAAGACGATCCAAAAGAAAGAGCTGATGTTAAAGAAGTACTTGAAAAATTGGAGGATTTATACGAAAAATTCAATTAAATGTTTTAAATTCGATTTTTAACCCTTCGAGGACGGGAAAAATCAAAATTTGTAAAAAAATAAAAATCTTAGTCAATTGTAATGTAAATGTGACCTTTTTTTGATTTTTTCAAAAAGCTAGACACCCTGGAAAGACGGCTCTAGTAAATTTTATGGTAAATTGTTATAAATTATAGTAAAAAAGTGAATTTTTTGTTGAAGTTGGGATGAACAAAGGTTCACTTTTTTGCTTGATCCTTTCAGAAACAAGTCACAGTTCAATGGAAAAGTCAGATCAAAAATTTATTGAGATGTCTACAACTTATAACAATAATAAAATTAATTATAAAATATAACAAAGACCAAATCGCATCATAAAACATACTGGTCTGGAAATAACAAAGAAAAGAAAACAAAACATAGACTTTGAGGTGTATTGGAATTTCAATATGCAATTGATCTCAAAAACAATAAAAAGGGTAATTAAATAGATTTTTATAAACTTTGAAAAATTTATAAAATTATAATTTGGGTTTTAATTTATTTTATATAATCTAAATTCCCCATTTTTTGGTCTGTCAATAATTGCGCCAATAAAAACTAGCAAAACATTAAGGGTATCTTAAACCATATAATATTTTTCCTGTTTTCATTATGCCTTAAAAATACATCCTTATCAAAAAATGAAGTAAAATTAAACGTATTTGACCTTTATTGTCAGGAATAATATGAGTTTATATTTCGTTAATAGTGTTAAAATAAACGGGAATAATTTATTGTTTATTAGGATGACGACAGGACAAAATGATGTTGGCAAAAATAATGTAAGACTAAATAAATTAAATTATTACTAAATTACTAAATAATGTGGGTAATAATATCAATACAACAAAAGTTTTTTTGAATTCAACAATAAATAGGGATGAAGTAAAATGGTGTAATAATTTTACTGAAAATTTATGTTTTAGTAAATTATTTGGTGAATTCGTTTCACCAAATAGAACTATTTAAGTTCTAGAATTTTGGTTTTGTTTTCAAAGAATAATTTGATAAATATCATTTTTATGTTTTTGGTTAAAACAATTTTTGCATTTTGAAAAAAATGAAAAATTCAATAATGATTTTTTTACAATTACCACAATGAGCGGCAATATTCATCTTATTGTAAATATTTTTATTACTTATCATAAATAAAAAACAATTTACACAAAACATGTTTAATAAATAATTTAAAGATAACAACACTATATTTAATAAAAAAGGTACAAATCAAAAACATATTATTTAAAAATCTGGAATATATATTAAAAAAATATAATATAAAATACATTGAGAAATGCTCATAATTAATTTAATTTGTTTTTATTGGCAACAAATATCGAAAATATCATTTGTACAACACTTAATCGTGGTTTAGATTGATTAACTATAACATTTTTTGTAATTATCTGTTTGTTTTTTTTGAAAATGCGCTTAGTAATACTTATTATTATTTGAGACATTATATTTCAAAACAAATATAAAATAATAATTATGAATTAAAATCGTTATATTTTTGATAAATAAAATATGATAACAATGATTATATCATTGCGATTTTATCTATCAGACATAATTTTAAAATAAACAACAACTTCGATTTGTGACTTTTTATGTCAAGTAACATCTTTTTACAATGTTTTTTGAAAGTTATGACATAAAACATATATTTTTACTGGACATTATTTCTTTTATTATATGAAAATAATGTTTATTTGAAATAAGTACAATAACAAAAATTAAATAACACTTACATATAAATCTATGATTCTTTCAATTGCATTGATTGATAAGAATAGTTGTTAATTTTAAAATGATATACGGTAGTAAATGATAATCAATGATTTTAAACAAAAAGTGCCTATCGTTTTTATAAACTGCGCATATAATAATACAAATTTGTTTATCAAATCCAAAATAAAATTTTGTTATTTTTATGTTGTTTTCACTTATATTAATGTATCAGCTTACGATGAAAATAAAAATATTTCATCAAACATAATTATATTAATTAAAAAACAACAAAAGTAACATTTGTATTGTTTTTTTTTCATAAAAAATAAAAATTTAATTTGATGATATTGGTTATTGTTGGATTTATTTTGGTCTTTTTTGTTTTTTTATTCATTTTTTAACATCAATTGCAATAATAATTAAATGTTGGCAAAAATCAAAAAAAACTATGTAATTACATTATAATTGATGAAAATGGAAATGTTATTACTTTTTTGATTTTTAATAAAAATGTTTTTTAAAATATAGGGATTTTTAAGATCGTAAATTGGTGAAATATTTTACCAATTTTTTCTCTTTTTGGTAAACAGGTAAAATGGATTTTACTTCATCCCCAACAATAAATTAAAAACACACATTTAAAAAACGATTTATTAAAATTAATTTTTATAAATAATCATTCAATTAATAGAACTTGATTCAAAATTAGATTTGCAGTTTGTATATTAATTTCCCGATAAAATATAATATTAAAACCACAATAAAATACATTTGGTGTGACAAACTTGATAAATACAACAGAAATAACCGTCTTGTAATAAAATAATTTTAATACCGTACTCAGCTAATTTTAAGTTTAAGATATTTATCATACAATTTTTAGAAATTTCGATTAAAAATCATTTCTTTCAAATCAACCAAACACTGCTTTTTAAACAAATCACATTTCTTGATTAAACCAAAAATTGCAATAAATTACAAACTTATAAATGTTCATATATTTTCAAATAAAAAATGAATTGTAATTTTTAATAAAATTGTATAATTATTTTAACTATTCGTAATCATAATAATTCAATTTAATTTTTAAACCTAATTAAATGTGATTATTAAAATTATTATTTCTTTGGTTTTTCTTTTTCTGGTATTTTTTTTCTTAACAACAATGGTAGTATTTTTACAAGAAATGTTATTTTTTGTTATATTATCGACTTTTTCTTCAATTTGTATTGGAGTTTCAATTTCCATCAAACAGTCATCACTTAACAAATATATTGTATTACATTCTTTATAAATTTCATCGTAATCAACATAAAAATGCCATACATATTTAAATCCAAAGTCAAATCACATTTCTTTACATCAATAGATTCATCTTTTCTCTTTGGAATCCACGCATTCGCTTCATCTTCGTTGTTCAATTCCATGTTTTTGAAGTTGTTCTCGTGTAACAAAAACGATTCTTTGCAAATCAAAGAATTAATGAACTCACACAATGTCAGACTCTCATTGCAAAAACTTTCGGTCAATTGTACGATTTGTTTTTTATGTACAAAGATGTTTTTAGTTTCATGTTTTTTCCTTCTATCATTTGTTTAATTTGGACAATGACTGAATTTTTGTATTTAACAAAAACTAACAACAACTTTTCAATTGAAGGTTTCGGAGTGTTCAACTTCTTTATTAAAGAAGAGTGGAATGATTCGCTTCTATTATCCGTTCTTACATCTCTATTATATTGACTCCAATAACATATTGGGAAATTTCCATTAATCCACACTCGTTCAAAGTACTCATAGAGTTTTATTAACAACGCAAAAACATTTTCTTGAAATTTAAAAATGTTATTAAAAATTACATTTTAAAAAAGTGGTCTGAAATCATTTTCTTTAAAATTGGTATAATCATCAACCATTTCATTACCAACTTTTCATTTGTTCCTTTGATATAAAACGGTGTTAGCTCAAAATTTACAATTTTGCGCCAAACACATTGGCAAAAGTGAAACATGCAACAATGGACATCACAATTAAACGACTCTAATACATTTAAAACTACATTTTCAAAATCACTCATTGTTGATGTCTCATTTGTGAACAACCTGCTAAAAATACAATGGTGTGTTTCTTGTAATACGGCAAACAAGTTGATATAGTCCTCCATTTTTCTTTTTTTTGTTCAACAATAGTATAAAAAACACTGACCATTTGAGAGTAAACAATGTATTGTTTTCAATTGACTAAACTCTTCTGGACAAGAAGCAAACGTTCCGTCCATGCACAAACAGAATTTTTTTCTATTTTTCAACAAGTACATTTTCAAACAACTAGCAAAAATGACAAATTTTTCGGTTTGTCTATACAAATATTTGTCTTCTTGATGTTATATATTGTCCAACTCTCTTTCTATCACAGTTTTCATTATTCTATTATTTTGTCTTGTAATGGTACTTTTTCTTGATTTTGCAGTGACCACATCTGGTAAATAATCGACAATCGTGTTTGTTAATAACATAAAAATTACTTTTTCTTCAACGTTTGTTTTTAACAAAATTTTCTTTTCGTATTTTTCAGATGCCATGTGTTTTTGGTAATATAGGGGGTCTATAAACTGGTTGGGGTCCATAAACTAGTTGGGGAATTTATTAGAAACTTTTTAAGGAAAAAAACAATATTTACACGTATTTTGGAAAAGAAAAACCCTGCTCTGCAGTTTTGGGAAGTATAAAACATGTTAATTACTATTTTTTTGTTGTTTTGCAATTTTAGAAATTAATAAAAACCCAAAAATAACCAATGAATAAAAACAAATCATTTATATTTTTTTGTTGATAAAATATATTATTTCTGAAGAGAATCGCGTTCTCTTTTTTATCATATAACACATATTTAAACATTTTGTTCACACTACACAAAAAATTGTCAACGACCATGGCAAATTAAATTATCTCGCTCTCACACATATTATATATTATATTTTATCACAATCACTCCAGCATATTATAAATATCGCAATGAATGACTGTTTTGAGTTCATATTTTTTTTCTTTTATAGTCCAAAATTCGTTTTTTTAAATCTGTTGACTTTTTAATCCATTATATTTTTATGTAATTTTATATTATTTAAAATTTGAATTGAAACGTAACAATGTTTTTGATTAATACAATTAATATTTTAATATAATAAAATATTAAATTTTAATTGTTTATCGAGATTCATTTGAAATTATTATGGCAATAAATGGCGAT